TCATACCATATAATAAGACTTTACAATATTTCTTACTGGAAATGAGACTTTGTAGACATCCTGTGGTATATACATCGGGAGTGCCTCCCTGTCCATTGCACGTGCCGTGAAATGATGGCGGACTCGGAGCGTTGGGAGGGTGACCACCGCCTCCCGGAGTGTTTCCATTGGTTGTGTTCGGAGTTCCCCCTCCGATACCAATCGATACATAACCTTAATATAAAAATACAGAAAATGATACATTTCCCAAAGTTTAGATCTAAATTTTAAGAGAAAAATATATACAAAGTTTGTATAAACTTATAAGAATTATACATGTATTTGGATTATAGATTTATACAGTACTGTAAATCTAAAAAATTTTCAATTTAAAATACTATTAAATTGTCAGATATTTTTCAATTATCTTATTTCAAACAAATTACATTCAAATTCCACTACAATTCACTAGAAATTAAATTTACCAAAAAATATGAACTAAAGAAAGTGATACAGTGTTTGGTTATAGATATTGAAAATTACAGAGAGTATAGATTACTGGGTATTAGATCTGAAGACAAGTATCGATATTTGGTTTCAAACTATAATTGAGATTCAGGAAAGATATATAGGAATAAAAATATCAAATATTTGTTATAAAAGTATTGGTTTTTTTTGTGAATTACATTCAAATAAAATGTCATTCAATGAAAGCCGTCGTCGTATAGAGAATTGAATGACTCATTGAAGCAATGGATGGAAATATTACTATTTATAGCCTTTGGCTTCAATTTAGTAGTCGTTCAGTAATTCTGAATTTAAAGAACTCATCGCTTCTCTCCAATAAACTTATCATAACTTTTCCATTACTCCATAAATCTATTCACATTCTAATCAAACAAATAAGTCTCTTCTCTCTCTCACCCACTCTTCTCTTTCAATGGATAAAAGTTTGAATACAAACGTAAACATGAAATTATTGATTTAATAATTTAATATTTATTTATCTTATATATTAAATTCTACGATATAAGCAGTTCTGGTCTCTTGTAATCTGTTGTCCAAAAAACATATTTTATAAAAAGTAAGAAAAAATAAACACACTTTTTGTTAGTGATTGACCACTAACTGTGAGTTTATTAATATATCAAAAGAATATAGCTATAAGTTATAAGCAATAACGTTTTGATCAATAGTTTTTAAAGTTTATAATTTTGTAATTGTTTATATATGCTTATATAAAATAAATTATGTTGGCGTAGTTAATGTAATTTTGATTGTATTATCTAATTTACATTCTTAGTATATCGTATTTGGCAAACATATTATAAAGATATAAGAATTCTTATATGAATAGCATCAAGAATAGTGTAAATATTAAACATGAAATGGTAATGTAGTCACGAATTAATTGATTTATGGTTTACCTGATGTGGGTGTAAGAGCAGGACTGCCGAGTCCATTGGGCATTTGCACTTGGGCAGGTAACTGTGCGGCCAATGCTGCGGCCATAGGCACATAACCACCTGCTGCCGCCATTATGGCCGCCTGTTGCTGCATGAGCTGAGTTTGACAATCAGATAATGTTAAATATTTGTGATTAATTGTAACTAAAGTGAATGAAATATGACATTACCTGTGCATAAGCGCCATAAGCACCGAACTGATTGAACACGAATGGACTCAATAAACCCATATTTCCAGCCATTTGTTGCATTCGCCTCAACTGTCTTTCTTTTTCAGTGTCGGCAAACTTGACCACAAGACTGGAAGAAGCGCCCTATCATTGGTGCCCAACATATCAAATGATTGCAACAATTAGTAACGAAATGGATTCGTGGCGGTGAAGAAACAGACCCTTACCGGCATTGTCTGACTTCCGTGCAGGGAATTGATGGCCGCCTGAGCCTCACCATGACTTCCAAACTTAACGAATGCACAGCCTATCAAATGTTGCATTCAATAAATAATCTTTTCTAACAGACCCTTACCGGCATTGTCTGACTTCCGTGCAGGGAATTGATGGCCGCCTGAGCCTCACCATGACTTCCAAACTTAACGAATGCACAGCCTATCAAATGTTGCATTCAATAAATAATCTTTTCCAACATTCATAACATTATAAATCATAGCATGACTTATAAGAAAATTAAACAGTTATTGCATTTAACAATAACACATTTCGTCAAGAGGTTGTGTTGATTTTAAACTATACAGTAGTTTGCATACTATATACTCTACACAATTTGTCTTAATGTCAAATTGATTTTTTAACCACAATTCAGATATGAATAATAAGGTTTATAGAATCGTTCGGCTACCCCTTCCCAGTTACCTCGCTCTATGAGATTTAACATGGAATTAAGTCTAGGGCTATATTTTAACATATTGCTAATGTTAAGTCTATGACATAGGATTAACATAAAGTTAATGTTAATCCTATAGGGAAAATTTTCAATGAATTTCTGTAATATTACAGCTCAAGGCTATGACATAAGATTAACGTGAGCCTATGGACAATGCTAAGTCTATGTGATTCATATTAAATCTATGGATAATGATAATCCATTCTTTAAGCATCACCCGAATTGTGATTAACGTATAGCATCGCTGTATGAGTTGTTTTATACTAGATCCTTGACTATAGTTTAAAATTTTATTAATTATCGAATGAATAAATTCGGTGCATAAGTATATCTATAAAATTTTAGATGTTTTAAGAATTTCATTGCAAGTAAAAAATATTTAAAATATAATTATATGACTATTATTTTAAAAATTGATTTTTTTGCTTATATTTAAAGTCTTTGAAATGCAGAACTAGAATATGAATGACAAACACTGCCTAAAACCAAGTCTTGACAAACATTCTTGCATTCATTAAATGGTCTTTTGATGTAAAAATGAATTAAACATTTTATGTTTAGAAATGA